AAAAAAACTGAGATGAAGTAATTAGATCTTTACAGGTATCCTACTCATTATTTTGTAGGCACACCTTACAATTTGGTTTTCTGTGTTTGTTACTTATGTGGGTTCTTGCGCGGGACTCCAAGGTCAGTTTGAACCACAAGGTTGGTGGCTCAAGCTTACCAGCCGCTTCTTGGAAACCCTATACAGTTTCGCTGTGAGTCGGAATTCACTCAAAAGCACTTAACAACAACAACTCACAAGATTTAAAAACTAAAGTCAATACTAAGTAAAACAATTTAAAGTATACACTTGAAGGAAAAGAAAATCAGATTAGCAGTCTTGTGTATGAGAGACAGCATAAGAAGGAACACTTAGTTCAAAAGAATTGGTACTCAGAAAATTTGGGGAGTCCGTGAGAGAGGAAGACCTCCCCAGTTAGATGTAATGACTGACATAGTGGCAGCAACAATGGGCTCAAACATAACACGTTGTGAGGATGGTAGAGAACAGAGCAGTGTTCCATTCTATTGTACACAGGATTATTATAAGTCAGCAGTGGCTCAATGGCACTGAACAACAATATACCTCGATCTGCCATGAACTAGCTAGGACTGAGAAACTGGTTATACGATATTCTAGTATGAAGATCAGTTTTATGTACATGAGAAATAGTACAAAAAAACAAACCTTTTACTTCATAACAACTCCTTTTATAAGTGTGTCATATGTTTTCTAAATTGAAGCAGTTATACAAAATGAACTGGCATTATATGAATTTTAAAGCTAACTAGAAAATTTATTAGACAAATGGGAGTTGACCTCTCCCTTCAATTTATACTTTGAAAAATTAGGACACTGAGACTATGACCCTTAGGAACTGAACTCACACCAGTGGCTCAATTTCTATGGCACTTAATGACAAGAAAAACAGTTGATTATTCCAGGTAGGGCTTACCAACCTAGTGTTGAGAACCTACTTCATCCAGGAAACAGACACAGCTGTGACACTGAAGACATCAGAGATGATGAGAAGCAGTGGCAGAGAAATGGTGTCAGTAGAACCAAGAAACCGGCAAGAGACAGAGCAGTGAGCTAGCTTCCTGGTCCATGGATGAGAATGCTGAGTGCCTTTGAGCAGGAGGCTTGTTGGCTGAGTAGAGTGCCTCTGAGCATTTATCGGCAGAGCTAAAGCACTTCGTAACACTTGTCTGAGCAGGGCAGAGGACAAGGGACAGTGCTAGGAGGTTGTCCTAATTGAAGAACTGTATCCTGAATAGTTCTGATCCTGAATTTCAGGATCCCTAATAAAGTCCATAACTGTTATAATATTATGAGAGTCATGTGTGGCCATTGCAATGAATTATCAAACCCAGCAGAGAAACAGAGTGCTGAGGGAAGGACTGCTTGTATGACTTGGTTAAAAGGTTGGATGGTGCATGTTAGGAATCAATGTTGGGTGGCTGATGCTGCTGATCTTGATCTTCCGCCCCACTTGTGAAGTTAGGGGAGGTCAGATGCCTATCTCTCATGCCATATTTCCTCAGGGAGTTACTTAGGTGGCAGTAAGTCCAGCAAATAAAGAAATGGACAAAGAAGTCATAAAGAAGGTTTTTAAATTTAAATGCACAAGAATTTAAAATATATTTATATTGGTTACTGCTACACAAGGTCAAAAGACAAGTAACTAGGGGAAAATATTTGTAACTCATAAATTTTATCGGAAGTTTCTTAATTTATGAAGAGCTTCTACACATGGTTAAGATAAATACAAACTAAAGAGGCCAAAGAAACCCATGAAAGGAGTTTAAATTAAATAAAAATTAAGTTCAACATTTTCTAAACCCTATATACTTTGATAAGGAGCTCTGCTAGCAGAGTGGTTACGAATCGGGCTGCGAACCTTAAGGTTAGCAGTTTGAAACTACCAGCTGTTCCACGGGAGAAATATGAGGCTTTCTGCTCCTGTAAAGATTTATAGCCTCAGAAACCCTGTACAGGGTCGCTATGGGTCGGAACCGACTCGACAGCACTTAATAACAACAACATATACTTTGATATAATTCAAATTTCTACAAACTAATTTAAACATAAGGAAAAACTGAGCAACCAGGAATGTGTCCATCAATTTCTTCAAGCAGTTCTTTTTTTGTAAAGTCTCACATGATTTCCTTAAAATTAGTCTTCCTTAGTTGAGCTCTATCAAAACATAATTTTTATTCAAAATCTTGGACATTTTTGTACTCCTATAGCTCTGGTTCAAGCTCACCAGCTGCTCCTTGGAAACCCTATACAGGGTCACTATGGGTCGGCACCGACTAGACAGCACTTCACAATAACAACATAATTCTGGTAGCGTGGTGGTTACGAATCGGGCTGCTAATCTCAGTCAGCAGTTCGAAACAGTTGGAACCAACTCCACGGCACATAACAACAACAAAATAGTACCACACACAGAGTAGGGATGTAGATTAGTTATGAGGAAACTCATACTGGGATACAGCATCCAACCTCATACTAAAACTCAGCAATGTCATGTATTAAACTAAATCTATAGCCTGATCTCATTACCTAACCATTTTGTACCATACTTTTTCTTACAAACAAAAGTACTAAGGGTTAGAAAGAATGGAGGGAAAAAAGATGTCTAAAATGAAAGACTTGGATAACAAGGAAAACGATCACTATTTCTAATTATTGTCAATAACAAAGGCAGAACACCTCACCTAAATGATAGTGATTATCTTTGACTGGTGGTAGTGGCTGTGTGCTGTGGAGTCGGTTCTGACTCATAGCGACCCTGTACAGGGTTTCCGAGGCTGTAAATCTTTATAGGAGCAGAAAGCCTCATCTTTCTCCCATGGAACAGCTGGTAGTTTTGAACTGCTGACCTTGTGGTTTGCAGCCTGATTAGTAACCCCTAAGCTACCAGAGCTCCTTATCTTTGACTATAACCCTGTAAATCAAACTTAGTAATAAGTTTATTTATTCGTAAAAATAATGCCAAATGATCTTTTAGTCCTAACACACTAAAAGGAATAGACATCTAGGAAACACAGAACTCTGTCTAGCTTTCATTCCCATAAAAAAGAAAGAAATGCTTTTGGAACAAGGGTAGGTGCTTCTGTCACTTTCCACTTCACACGATTTGGAAATCATACTCACATAACTGGCTGTTGTGCAGTCTCTTCCACATATGGAGTAAAATTGGGAAGCATAGAAGGTACAACTGCCACAGAAGCTGTATTGCCACGAGGCTGTGAGAAATAAGAAAATTAAAATTACCAGAGTTTTACAATCTGAATATACACACATTGTCTAAATATTCAGGAAGAATTTAAAAGAGATGTTAAAAATACTTCTTTACTCTAAATCTGAACCTTGTATATGCTGACAAGCATACTGGATCTAAAATTCCTTACCCTGTGTTCCAAGGGCCTGCCTGTGTTCCAAGGGCCTGCTTGCAACTCGTTCTCTTTGGCCCGGGGCACAGGGGGTGCTACCCATGGCTGGGCTGTGGGTTTAGACAACTCTGCTCTAGAAGTCACATCAACATTTTCATCAAAAACAGTAATTCTAGAATTACTTAGCATCTGTTGAGGAACTGGATTTAGGACTCCTCTGTTCTGGCTTGACGCTAGGAGAAAGAAATTAAAATTTAATATAAACGCTTTAATTATCAACTCAGATACCAACTGTTTGTTGTTTAGTGCTGTCAAGTCAGTTCTGACTCATAGTGACCTTGTATAGGGTTTCCATAGAGCAGCTGGAGGGTTTGACCCACCAACCTTGGGGTTAGCAGTCCAGTGCTGATCCTATAGCACCACAATTTATTCTTCCGTGAGTCCAAGAGAATTTTTAAAATAATTTTAAAAAACAAAACTCTTAATGGATCAATTAGCAGTGTTTTAATATATTCTGTGCTTGTTATTTATATATATTCTCACTGTCTTTCCCTACCTGCCAATCTTTTATTCACAGATTTTTAAAAATCTCCATCTTCCTTTAGTCATGATCCATTTTTCATTAGAAACTAACCGAATCTATCACTAGTCATCTATTGGTTTGCTTTACTGTGGTGGCTTGTGTGTTGCTGTGATGCTAGATGCTTTGCCCCTGGTATTTTAAATACTAATAGGGTCATCCATGATGGGCAGGTTTCAGTGGAATTCCCACACTAAAACAGACTAGGAAAAACAAGAGGTGGACCACTTCTGAAAAGTTTGCCTTTAAAAACATTTTGAAGGACATCATGCTTGGTAAAGTGAAAGACTGACACAGTGTCAACAATGGGCTCAACCATAACAATTCTGAGGAGGATGCAACACTAGGCAATGTTTCGTTCAGTTGTACATGGGGCTGCTTTCAGTTGGAACCCACTCAATACCTAATAACAATAACTACAACCTTATCTTTATTCTTCAGTTAAAAATGTCCCCTCAAAGGTCGTGGAAATCAGCTGAGACATGCTGAATCTACAGAACACAAATCAATACAATTACTATAAGTTATGTTGAAGTATAAGGAGCTCTGGTAGCATAGTGGTTACAAATCGGGCTGCAAACCACAAGGTCAGCAGTTTAAAACTACCAGTTGTTCCGTGGGAGAAAGATGAGGCTTTCTGCTCCCATAAAGATTTACAGCCTCGGAAACCCTGTACAGGGTCGCTATGGGTAGGAACCGACTCCACAGCACATAACAACAACATGTTGAAGTATGGTGCTTCATTATAACATGGTCCGGATAAAATATCCATAAGACTGAATACCCTTGATCCCTAATTCTAAGCTCTCCAAGTAACATTCTGGCTAATAAATTTAATTCTCAGATAAAGTGATACCGGGAAACAGATAGGAAACAAAAAAACCATGCCTAACTGAAACAACATTGTTAATAAAAGTTTATTGCTAGTCATCTTTGGGTGTACCAAGTGTTCAATTTTTAGTCCCAGAAGTCTCAATATGATTCTTAACGTCAACACCAATCTTTGAATCTTAGGTGAATGTAAAAGCCTTCCCCTGACAAATACCTACTATTATTGTGTATTTTCTTTCAACTGTTGCTGTTAAGTGACATCAAGATGGCTTTGACTCATAACAATCCCATATACAACAAAAATACTGCCCAAGACTACACCATCCTCACAATCATTGCTATGTTTGACCCCACTGTTACAGCCACTGTGTCAATCCTTCTCATTGAGAGTCTTCCTCTTTCTCGCAGACCCTCTACTTTATAAAGCATTATGTCCTTCTCCAGAAACCGGCCCTTCTTGATAACATGTCCAAAGTATGTGAGATGAAGTCTCACCATCTTCCCTTCTAAGGAGCATTCTGGCTGTACTTCTTCCAAGACAGGTTTGTTCGTTCTCCTGGTAATCCACGGTACTTTCGAGATCTTTCGTCAATCATAATTCAAATGTGTCAATTCTTCTTTAGGCTTCCTTATTCATTGACCATCTTTCACGTGCTCATGAGGTGACTGAAAATACCATAGCTCCGGTTGGGTGCAGCTTAATCTTTAGAGGGACATCTTTCCTTTTTAACACTTAAAACACATTTTGATTTCTTGACTGTTGCTTCCATAGACACTGGTTGTAGATCCCAAAACAATTAAATCTTTTGACAACTTCAACATTTTCTCATTTATCATGATGCAGCTTATTCAACTTGTGTGCCGCCAACTCTGTGACAACTCATAGCGAGTGACCATGTATACAGAGTTTTCTAGGAGCAGCTAGCTGGTGGGTTTGAACTGCTGACCTTGGGGTTAGCAGTCCAGTGTTTATCCTACAATGCCACCAGGACTCAACTAACACCACTTAAAAACTCAGAAAATCTTGACATACCAGGGTTTTTCTTAATTAAGACACAGCACTGTCGACATGTTTTGCTTTTACTGCATAGTATGATTCCAGTTCTCCTTAAACTTACTTCTTTTTGCTACTTAGTTGTTATTGTTAAGTGTTGTCAAGTTGGTTCTGATTCATAGTGACCCTGTCTAAGGTTTCCAAAGAGCAGCTGGTGGGTCTGAATGGCCAACCTTGCGGTTAGCAGTCTAGTGCTGATCCTCCAGCGCTGCCCCCAGGACTCCAAGTTAGTACTCAGAAAACTAGGACAGTGTCCACATATATAGCTATGCATTCTCTCATCACCTAAGTTGTCTACTACTTGAGACTAAGAATGTGCACAAGGACATTGAACAAACTTACCCCTGAGAGCACCTCCTACACGGCTGATTGGAGCTCTTGCTGTCTTTTTCCCTTTGCTTTTTAGATCGGACAGTGTGCTTCGTTGTGGTACAGAAGATTCAAAACTTTCTTCCTCTTCTTCCTTCTCAAGTGCCAAAAGTGTCTGTCGAGATACTCGAGCTTGGAATTGTCTGAAGTAAGAGAATTAACTGTTGGTGAGGTGACTACTATTCGCTGGATTTAAATTTTCTAGTTTGTTAAAACAATGAGTTGAGTAGGATGGAATAAAAGTACAAAAACATCCCTAAGGAAAATTTTTACTCTCTCAGGAATACAGAAAGCCACCTTCAAATCAGACAAGGTTCTGGATAGAATGATTCTGCTTCTCTTTAAACGTCTAAGGAACTGTGATGGTACCATGGTTAAAGCACTCAGCTAGCTATCAACCAAAAGGTCAGCAGTTCAAACAATTGCTACACAGAAGGTGTGATGGTCTGCTTCCGTAAAGATTATAGTCTTGGAAACGCTGTTGGCCAATTCTATCCTGTCCTATAGGGTCGCTATCGCTATGGATCACAATCAATTTGACAGCAAGGGTTTTTTTAGTTTTTAAATGTCCAAATTTGATTTAATGATCAATTATAAATACTTTGAGTATTCGATTTCAGGATCAGATTAGGGTAACAGTACTGACTTTAATGAAATCAGAAACAATGTTCCCCATCAACGTTTTATCATAAGAAGGTTGTTGTTAAGTGCCGTGGAGTCAGATCTGGCCCATAGTGACCCTGTACAGGATTTGTGAGGAGTGGCTGGTGAGTTTGAACCACTGACCTTGGGATTCAAGCTGACTTTGCAGTCCAGCGCATTAACCCACAGAGCCACAGAGCAGGCTCATGATAGCCTCTTCTATCCCCCACTGGTTAAGGAGCTCTGGTAGCATAGTGGTTACGAATCAGGCTGCTAACCTTAAGGTTAGCAGTTCAAAACTACCAGCAGTTCTGCGGGAAAAAGATGAGACTTTCTGCTCCTTTAAAGACTCACAGCCTCAGAAACCAACTCCATGGCACACCACCACCACTACTACTAAACCCCCACTGGTTAGAATTAACAACTCTAGACAAAAGACAAAACCCTAACTGAGAACTCTGAAAAGTGAACAAAAGCAGGTAGACTGTGGAGAGTTCAAACCGAAAGAAGCAACCCATAAGGGTTGGGTTTCCTGTTTGTTTTTTTCTTTTCTCTCGTTGAACTGTTGCAAAGGTAGCATGGGAAGCTACAACTCCAAAAATTTCACTTTTCTGGTCAACAGACTGGGAAAGGGGGGGCTCTTGAAGGTTAAAGAGTATGAGGATAATACTACATGTGCTGAAGAAGGAGAGCTCCCAACTCTAGGTATGAAATTGACACAAATCTTGGGTTCACTCCTGAGTTCTGTATATACATAGGGTAGACTCAAAGCGGCAAAGAAAAGGCTTGTAGAACTGAACTGTGAGGTAAAGCATTGCCCAAGTCCCACACTAATCCCTGACTGGGACATGTAGAGTACAGACCCAAAACAGCACAACAAAAGTCAAGAACTGAGCTGACACAGGAACTACCGCCTCACAAAGTGAGGAAAGAACTGGTGATATCTAAAGGTCAGCTGCTCACTGAGACAAAGACATCAACACTCTTCAAGTTCAAGTGTTCAGGACACAATACAAATGTGAAACCTAGAACGATACACAATAGGGTCACAAACTTAGGGTCTCTGATACATGGCATAAATACACTATCAAACTTAACTGGAAATAACAAACAGCAGAAGACAAACGATGACCAGTCTTTGTTGTTGTTGTTAAGAGCTGTCAAGTCTTTTCTGACTCATAGCGACCCTGTATAGGGTTTCCGAGGAGTAGCTAGAGAGGCTGAACTGCCAACCTTGCAATTCAAACCAACTTTGCAGCTAGCGCATTAACCCCAGTGAATGTCTATTCAGGTCCTTTTCCCTTAAAAAAAAAAAGAAATAAAGAAAACCTTGGGCTGTTTGTCTCTGTCATTTATTTGTTGGAGTTCTTTATATACAGGTTGTTGTTGTTAAGTGCCTTTGAATCAGTTCCAATCCATAGCGACCCAGTATGGGGTTTCCGAGGAGCAGCTGGTGAGCTTGAACCACTGACCTTACAGTTCAAACTGACTTTGCAGTCCAGTGCATTTAACCCATGGCACCACATCATGACTCCTAAAAATTAGGACCTCCTGAAAATTAGACACTTGTGTGCATTTAAAGATTTCACCAGAAGAGTAAAACAAGAAGCCATAGACTAGGAAAATTTTGGCAATGACATAAATTAAACAAGTTCTCTAAAGTTAATAGAACACTTCAACATCTCAGTAAGAAAAAGACACATAATCAAACTTAAAAATGGTCAGAGGACATGAACAGACACTTGCTGAAAGAAAGCATTCATACATCCAACAATTAAGAATAATGATGATCACTGTTGTCGTTAAGTGCCGTAGAGTCAGTTTTGGCCCATAGTGACCCTATATAGGGTTTCCGAGGAACGGCTAGTGATTTTGAACCACTGACCCTGCAGTTCAAACCAACCCTGTAGTCTAGCACTTATCCTATAGTGCCGCACCAGAACTCACTGTCACTGTTGTTGTTGTTGTTGTTGTTATGTGCTATGGAGTTGGTTCCGACTCATAGCAACCCTGTACAGGGTTTCCGAGGCTGTAAATCTTTACGGGAACAGAAAGCCTCATCTTTCTCCCGCGGAACAGCTGGTAGTGTAGAACTGCTGACCTTAAGGCTCGCAGCCCGATTTGTAACCACTACGCTACCAGAGCTCTTAGAGAGATGCAAATCAAAACAGCAGAGATGTCTACACTGGCATTAAAAGCAAAGTTCAAAAAAAAAACAGAAAACAACAAATGATGATAAGAGTGTGAGACTTACACTGCTGGGAGACTATAAAATGGTGCAATCTCTGTAGAGAATGGCATGGTGCTTCCATTCAAATGTTGGAAATAAAAATACCGTATTTCCCATTACTCTTATTTCCTAGAGAAATCAGAGCTGTGACATGAATAGATATATGCACATCCACATCCATTGCAGCATTAGTCACAGTAGCAAAAGACGGTAAATAACCTAAATGTCTATCAATGGAAGAATGGGTAAACAAACTGTTACATATACACAATGGAATATGACGCAACATTAAAAAAAAAAAAAGACAGTGTTCCAAAAACTGAACAGTAACTAAGTAAAGCTGCTAATGCATTGAGTAGCATTTTATTCAGATACAAAAAAAGAGCATTTATTATTACTCTTAATTATAAGGAGTCTCAGTGTGGCACTGTACAATAAGTACTGGAATGCTAACCACAAGTTCGGTGACTCAAACCCAATTGCTCCTTGGAAAACCTATGCGGGGTTACTATGAGTCAGAACTGACTCGACTGCACTTAATAACAACATTAGTGATAAAGGAGCCCTGGTAACATAGTGGATTACAAGTTGGGCTGCTAACAGCAAAGTCAGCAGTTCGGATCTACTAGTCACTCTGCAGGAGACAGATGTGGCTTTCTGCTCCCATAAAGTTTTACAGCCTCGGAAACCCTATACAGGGTTTCTATGAGTCGGAACCTACACAATGGTATACAACTAACACCAACACCACCATTAGTTATAAAGAGTAAAGACATGCCCAAAGAAGGTGTTTACCTGTGCTGGGACTGTAGTTTCTCCAGTGGTTCAGCGTTCCGTTGAAGCCCTTCCTGAAATATGGTATCTGCTTTCTTAAAGTTTTCTCTAGCTTCATATTCTTCAGCCCAAGAGATATAGAACTGAGCAAGTGAAACGCCAATCCCTTGGTTGTGTAAATAACTGTACATATCCAAAGGTTCATTGCATAAATGCCCCTACAACAAATTTTAAATGTTAACAGTCAACCAGTTTCAATTCACTTACTGAGTGCCTCTTATGTTCCAAACAATCATTGGAGATACTGTATGAAGTTACTACATTGAAGAAAAATATAATATATACTGAGTCCATAAATGTGATGGAGCAGACAAAGGGCAAAGTTATGAAAACTCCTTAGACATTACCAAACATCTTGAGGGAATCTGAGTCATAGTCTCAGGGGACACCATAGTCAATTGCCATAACAGTTCACAAAGACAGTGTTTTATATTCTACTTGGGTGACTAGTGACTGAGGTCTTAAATGCTCATGAGCAGTCATCTAAGGTGCAACTATTGGTCTCTCCCTGTCCAGAAGAAAGAAAAGTGATGAAAATTGAAGACACTTGGAAACAATTAGTCCAAAAGACTAATGGACCACAACAACATCAGTTTCCTTGACCCTGAGACAAGAAGAACTAGATGGTGCCCAACTACTACTACCTACTACTATGAAAGAGATATTAGAAGGTCCATGACTGAGTGGGAAAAAACGTGGAACAAAACTTAAAATCATAGCCAGGTCTGGAACTGAACTCACCCTTCATAGCTCAATTTGTAGCCACGCAATAGATGGGTATATAGGGGAGACAAGAACACTAGTGAGGTACACATCATTTTTTAAAATGGTCAACCATTTCATATCAACCACACCATACCAGAGAACAAAGTTCAGATAGACTGGGAAAGGAAGAATGGAAACAAGAACCACAGGGAGAAAGTGGGATAAATGACATTACATGGAGGGAATTGCAATCATGGAGATGAAACTAAGTGTATAATTTGCTGAATGTAAAACTGATGATCTGTGCTATAAACTGTTATTTAATTTACAATAGAAGATTTAAAAAAATAAATAAAATTTGAATTCTGTTAAGATGGAAAAAAGACTATATGCTGAGAAGAACTGAAAAAGAGAAATTAATTTGTGAGAAAAGGAGATAGGGCGGAAAGGCTTCAAGAAGGGGTGACATTTAAGCATGGCCTGGAAAGAAACTTTTCATCAGGTGGAGAATGGGAAGGGAAGGGCATTCTAGGTAGAGAAAACAGAATAAACAAAGACCGTGACAACTGGATATACGCACAGGTTCAGGCAAGGTAAAAGTATGGAAAGAAATATGTTAACAGATCTTCAACGCTGAGTTAACAATTTTGAATTTACTTGATAGTCAATGTATGAGGGGTTAAGTAAAAAGAAAAAGAATTGATACTAGGGTTCCAGTTCAGGCATGCACAGGTTTATTACAAATTGTGTAAGCATGTCTCTGTAACCAGTGGATGACTACAGACAAGTTATATTAGGGTGCCTTCCAAACAAGGGTCAGTAAAAAAGTGGCTCCCAAGGGGACCTGCTGGGCCAGCAAAATTCAAGGCAGAGTTGTCAGTTCAAAAGGTAATAGACAGTGAACGAGGCTTCCTGAAGCGCCTCTGCAATACATAAAACTATAGGTAGAAACCGGAACCACATCCAGATCTCCAGAGATGAGAAATCTCCACTTGAAAGGACGAGCAGACCAGACTGGAGTGGCTAGAAGAATAAAAGATACCTCTTTAAAGAAAGACCTGCAGGAAAAATGGAGGCAGATGGACTGTAACTAAAAGAACAAACAAATCGCTTCCCTAGGAAACATCAAGGCAAGTGGCCAGGTCCTGTCAACGCATATCCCCTTCCAAGACTAAGACTTAATGGAAATGCACACTCTGATTGGTGACCACACACATCACCAATGGGGGGAAATGGGGTAAAAGCAGCAATGAAGCGGCAAGCTAAGCCCTACAATGTTCAGTGGACTTCTGTGGACCCAGTTGGGGACCTGGATGGCAAGCAGTGTGAGGAGACCTGGGGACTCTTGGGCCCAGAGTCAGTGGCGTGGCCACGGTGGACTCAAGAGGAAAGTGGAGCTACCGGCTGATGGGAAGAGAGGGCATGTGCACAGGTGCCCCCACACTTGCAGATGATACCCACGTGACCTGGACCGGATGACTGGATGATCGGAGCGCAACCAGGAGAAGACAGAAGAGGGGAAAAAAAAAAAAGAGTGAGCTGATACAATCTGATGAACTTGACCTATACCTATGGAGCAGCAACTCAAAAGAGGGAACAAATCCTTACAGCAAGAATCATTCCCACCCCCTCCACACACAGAGTAGACGGAGATGGGCAACTTGGGCATTGGATACTCAAATGGGGAGGGAGGGACTACAAAGGCAAGAAGTGACTGGCTTACAAGCTTTCAAGGGGGAACCTAGTGCTAGGGAACATGGAGGAAGGCAGAATCTCCAGTGGGTACTATTCAATCTGTCTGGGAGGAGCGGATGGGTAACTCGTGTTACTGTAGTGAATAATGCTTATCAGGACGGATTATGAGGGTTGGAAATGCAAACGTAGATGTTTTGTAACAAGGAAGGCAGTGATTAATTCTACAGACTAGGAGCGGAGGTCTCTGGGACCATCAACGGAGAAGAGCCGAGAGCAGGACCGTACCCAGAGAAACAGAGATGCCTGAGATGGGAGACAGAGACAATGACGTGGAGTAATGAAGTGGCTGGGGACTTTGGATCCAGAAAGGAAAAGGGACTGTGGGCTGAAAACTGTTGGGGGGGAGTGTAGGGGGCGGGCTTCTAGGATATACCCTTTGGTTGGTTGATGATGCATGGAGGGGATTGGAACCATGGCAATGAGAAGATATACGATGGAATGAATGTAAAACTAAAGTTCTCTCATGTAAACTACCATATAATTCATAATAAAACATTAAAAAAAAAGGTAATAGACAGTTTTTTAAGATCCAAAAGGGGAAAATCATAATCAATTTTCTTGAAGGATATAGGACAATCATGGGGACTTACTAGAAGTTTTAGGAAGATGAACAACTGCACTGATGAGAAAAAAACCCTATGAAGTCATTTTTGAAGGGTGGCAAGGGCTACCTATGAGAATTTCATTGGGAAATCTTACTCCCATCTACCTGACAGCCCTGATCCTGCCCCTTCAGACTTCTTTTTGCTTTTTAAACTAAAAGAACATTGAAAAGGAACATGATTTGAGTCCAAAGATGCCAAAATTGTCATTTTGACATGATGTAAATTAAAAAGTACAGAATTCTTTAAGGAACGGTTAAGAGAGATGGGAACACCACCTTCAAGAAAGTATAGATCTAGATGATGGATATGCCGAGAAACAATAGCTATTTTGATATTTTTGTCTAATAAAGGTTTCTATGACTTTGAAGCAATACTTTCTGACTTACCCTCATATGTGCATTGGGATAGGAGAGCTCTAAGCAAAAATAACCTGATAAATCTGTTAGCATGTTACTACTGTCTGTATCCTCTGAGGATAGTTCTGTCTGTCCCATTTTAAAACACCTGAATCACTTATCAAGACTTTCCTTCAAAGGTACTGCTGCCATCTGTTGGTATCTGTACCTCTTCCCCCAACCTAATGGACCCATTATATTTGAACAAATAACCAATTACCCATGAAAAGGTATACAGACCTTGTGATCAATCTTAGAGGGGAAAAAAGCTTTATCATACTTTATTTAATTCCATTTCTAAAGTAGAACCAATTGGACAAATATTGAGTATTTATGAAATGCTTCAATCTGCTAGATGGCTTAGGTTTTGGCATATTTTATGCCACTTTACTGTACCAAACACCCCTAGAGAAAGTATCTTCAATAAGACTCACCAGTTTAAGCCAGAGATTGAGAAATCGAGCATCACTGTAATACCGTTTTTCTCCTTGCAGAGCTTCTACAGCTCTTTCTAATAATGTTGACATGTTACTCTCCTTCCCCCCCTGAGGATAGTTCTGCTCCGTCCAGTTAATGTACCTGAATGGGAAAAAAAGGGTAAGAATATTTACAAACTGAACATGTGCTTTTATTCTTGTTCTAAGACCCATTCTAGACTTGCTTAGACAGAAATACCTAAAATGTTGAAATTACAGTTATATGTTGCTTAAGGTCCACAATGCATTCTGTGAAATAGGACGTTATGTGAAATTCCTTTTGTGAACATCGTATTAAAGCCATGGAGTCCTGGTGTGGTGCTAAAAGAAAAGCACTGGACTACTACACAGTTGGCAGTTCAAACGCACCAGCAACTCTTTGGGAATGCTATATAGGGTGATTATGAGTCAGAACCATATTAAAACCTTATGGGAAACCACTTCGGGTTGTCCTGGTTGCAGCTACTGCTGCCTCCCCTTAAGAAGGCAGGAAGAAGGGGCAGAAGCAGAAGCAGCAGTGAAAGGAAGGGAGGCAGAGGAAGAGAGAAGATGTGAGTGAGGAGGGACCAGAGCACACCCAGTCCTGCACGCTATTCTGACTGCCTATCTAGAGACAAAGCCAGAGAGCCCATGCCCAGAATCTCATCCTCTGCCGTAATTGTCTGTAGCTCACTTGCATTCTCGAGCTACAAGAGTCTAGGTTTATAGCTTTAAAACCATTGTTGTTAAGTGCTGTTGACTCAGTTATGATTCATGGCAACACTGTGTAGGGTTTTCAAGGAGAAGTTGGTGGGTTTGAACTACTAACCTTTCGAGTAACAGTCTAGTGCTTATCCTACAGAGCCAAACCAGGACTCCCTAAAACCATTGTTGCTGTTGTTAAATGCTATGGAATCAATTCCGACTCACAGCGACCCTGTATAGGGTTTTCGAGAAGTGATTGGTGAGTTTGAACCACTGACCTTGCAGTCCAGTGCTTATACTACAGCACCAAACCAGGACTTAAAATCACTGTTGTTATTGTTGTTAAGTGCCATTGAGTCAATTTCAACTTGTAGCAACCCTGCATAGTTTCCACACAGTGGTGAGTTTGAGCCACCGACCTTGTGGTTCAAACCGACCTTGCTGTCCAGTGCTTAGCCTATAGTGCCACACCAAGACTTAATAAAAACATTATGAGAACAGGAATACAAATACTGTTGGGCTTTATCTGTACATTAAGCAATGTATACCTGCTTATTTATTTACACATTTTCAACAACATGCTCTAAGTCTGTATCCTTCAAACTCTCCCAAAGCATCTCTAATATAATACTCTGGAGAATACTAAGGATGGAAGTGGAAGGATGTAGGTCAGAATTGCACACCACAAACTAGAGATTTCTCCATTCTGAATACTTCACAGGAAAATATACTATGATGGTTCTGGCTCTTCATGCCCCAAGAGGCCACTTACTACTCTGACACATTACTCCATACACCACTCATGTTACATCTCTGATGCTCTTGTTAAGTAAAAATACTTACCTATCCCAAACATCCAGAGGATCATTTCCAGTGTAAAACCTAATTTCAGATTCAAATGCTCTGAAAATTAATAGAAAATATTAGCATATGCAATGACACAAACCAAATGAATGAAGTTCATCTCTACTTTAAATCATTTATTAAATGTTTTCTGTCAAGTGTTTGTTTACTTGAATAATCCTGGAAAAATCTGAATATGGACAAAGAACAGGGCAAAGTATAGAGAATTGGGTAAATTCAATAGGTACAAATATAAAAAGGGAGAGTATTAGAAAAACACAAGGCCACAGACACCAGGAAGAAGAATTTAAAATGCCACATATTGAAACAAAAGAATACAATTCAATGTTTTTAAAGGCACAATGAGATATGAGTGTAAAGATGATGTTCTCCCATGTAAACTACCACTCAGTTCACAATAAAAACTTAAGAAAAAAAAAAGATACAATGAGATAGACAAAGATATTCATTACATTAAATAATCATTGCATTATTTACCTATGATGGAGGAGATTGATGGTAGAAAAAGACTTTATACTATTATTTTAACAAAACCTGTATTAAATAAAAGAGAGCAGTTCTCTAGAACCATTTCTAAATATTGTTCAGACTGTCTTCATTCAGTTTGTTAATTATGAGAAAACATTTTAATATAAACCCAATTCTCTGAGATTTACATTGTCTTTGGAGACCACCATTTTGGGATAGTCTCAAAAATACTTTCCTAGATCAAAGTGACAACAGTAACTTGAAAGATTAGATAGGAATATTAGGAAGCAGTGAATTTGCATTAGGGGGTAAGGAACAACTTAGAAAAGAAGGGGGAAAATGGCTATAAAACTGGAAGAATGTAATCAGTGTCACTGGACTGTACACACGGAAATGGTTGAACTGATGGATGCTTTGTTGTGCCTATTTCTCAACAACAACCAAAAAAACACTGCTGGAAGCTGTGCTTTATGGGGTTGTTGTTTTGTTTTGTTTTTTAGTTTTTATTGTGAATTGAGTGATAGTTTACATGGAATATGTATTTTTATAACAATAAAACAATCATGGTGGTGGTGTGCTGTGAAGTCTTACCGACCCTGCATAGGGTTTCTGATGCTGTACATCTTTAAGGGAGCAGAAAGCCTCACCTGCCTTCTGCAGAATGGCTGGTAGTTTCGAATTGCTGACCTTGAGGTTAGCAGCCCAACTTGTACCCACTACACTACCAGAACTTCTTAGAACAATCATAGAAAACATTTAAAACAAAAAAACTGTCCGAGAAAGTTAACAATTGAGTCCATGCGAAAGGTAACAGATTCACTTTCTCTCAGTACTTAGAATCCAAGCAAGCAATTTTCCACTATATTACTACAAGAGTTAAGTCTGCTTGGGGGTCTAAAATAATTTGCTTTACTATGCTTCTTATTGTCCCCTGTATAAATGCATTTCTACTGGTAAAGAAGTTTAGCTGCTCCACAGTGAAATGAAATCCCATAGCTCTTATTCTCTGTCAATCTGATAAGATCTTAAGATACCTATTGTGTGAAGAGAAAGTAGGTGGGAACACATTCACATGCTACTAGTTTCTAAAGAGCATTCTTTATGCCACCTTGCATGATGGCTCCAACCTACACTATCTACACAGTTGGGAACAATAACAGGCTGGGTTTCAACCATTCTGCACACCGTTTCTGCTGCTGAAGAGTACTGTTACAGGCAGATTCTTGCTGTGCCAACGCTCCTTGAAGTGTGGACATTATCCGTCCCTGTCTTAACGGCTGCACGTTTTCTTTACTCAGTTCCCATTCATCTCCCTCCAAGGATATGGCTTCACTGTGAAAAGGGAAATAAACAAGTTAATCTCATATCAACACTGACTTCTTAAAGCACTCAATTATTTTCAAGCAGGTGATTATTCATGATCTTTGGGTCATGTATGGCTGAGCTGATACATTAGTGGTGGTACTATACACCTAAGCTTCTGAGCCTCTAGTTTCCAAGTTAGTGGCTGTGGTATTGTCTGGAAAGAACTTGATAAAAGTACTATGAAGAGTATTATATCACACTAAAGTTTAAGGAGAAAAAAGAAAGAAGGAAAAAACATTATAAATTTGGTAAAGCAGACAACACAACAGCAGTTCTGTGTCTACCACTGAAAGCATCATCTAGTTTAATTTAAAATTAGTACAAGTATTGGTCTGACTATTGTGGTTAAGTGCTGTCAAGTTGGTGCCAACTCATAGTAATCCTGTATAGGGTTTCCGAGGAGCGGCTCGTGGGTTTGAACCTCCAATCTTGTGGTTTAAACTGATCTTTAGGTCCAGCACAACAGGACTCCATTGCTCAGACTAGCAACTGAAGTTTGTATGTACAGACAGCCTAGATAGAGCACAAGCAGACAAAAGTACAGTTCACTGGTCACAAATGGTTCCCCAAATTCTATCAGACCCATTGAGGAATCCCCACAAAATTTGGGAGTTGAGGAAACCATTATGGGTTATATACTTTTAGGCAAAAGCCAGCATAAGAGACAACGATGAGTATTATATCATGATTAAGGGGTCAACTGAACAAGAGGACATAACCATTATAAATATCTGTTCCCAAGGAGCTCTGGTAGCGTAGTGGTTATGAATCGGGCTGCAAACCACAAGGTCAGCAATTCGAAACTACCAGCTGTTTCGCGGGAGAAAGATGAGGCTTTCTGCTCCCATAAAGATTTACAGCCTTGAAAACCCTGTACAGGGTCGCTAAGAGTCAGAACTGACTGCACGGCACATAACAACAACGTTCCCAAGAGTCTCAAACTCTAAAAGAACTGAAGAAAGAAACAACTCTACAATAATAGGAGATTTTAACACACCACTTTTGATGAAGAACAGAACAACCAGAAAAAAACTCAACAAAGACACAGGAGGACTAAACACTATCAACCAACTTTAGCTTGTAGACATATACAGAGCACTCAACCCAACAAAACAATATATATACATTATTTCCAGTGCACAAGGAACATTCTCCAGACTAGACCACATGTTAGGCCCCAAAACAAACCTCAATAAATTAAACAACATTAAAATACTACAAAGCATCTTCTCAAATCATAACGCTATAAAATTAGAAAATCAAGGAAATGAAATCAATAATGTGGAAATTGAATAATTCCTGCTTAAAAGCTTCTGAGATAAAATAAAAAATGATGTAAAAAAAAAAATCCTTGAAACAAATGAGAATGAAAACACAACTTACTAAACACCTTTGGGACACAGCAAAAGCAGTATTCGGAAGGTAATTTATAGCAATAAACACACACACCCCAAAAGAAGAAAGAACCAAAACCAACAACTCAGCTCAATATCTTCAACAATTAGAAAAAGAGCAGCAAAGTTAAGCCTACAACCACCAGAAGAAAATATATAAATATTAGAGCAGAAATGAATGAAATAGAAAAAAGAAAAACAATAGAATCAGTAAGACAAGATGCTGGTTCTTTGAAAGGATTAATAAAACCGACAAACCACTGGCAAATAAAACAAAAGAAAAGGAGAATATACAAATAACATGAATAAAAAAATATATGAGATATCACAACAGAACCTACAGAAATAAGATAACAGAATACTATGAAGAACTGTACTTCAACAAACTTGAAAATCTAAATGAAATGGACAATAGAAATACATGACCTATCTAAATTAGTACAGAAGTTGTTTTGTTATGTGCTGTGGAGTCAGTTCTGACTCATAGCGACCTTCTACAGGGTTTCTGAGGCTGTAAATCTTTACAGGAGTAGAAAGCCTCATCTTTCTCACGTGGAACAGCTGGTAGTTTCAAACTGCTAACTATGAGATTTGTAGCCTGATTCATAACCACTATGCTCCCAGAGTAGATAACTTGAAAGGCCTATTAAGAAATTAATCAAGCCATTAAAACACTCCCAACTAAAATACTTCAGGTCCTGATGGCTTTCCTGGTAAATTCTACCAAATATTCAGAGAAGAGCTGACATCAATTCTACTAGTCCAGAATACAGAAAAGGATGGAAAACTCCTGAATTTATTTTATGAAGCAAGCATAACTCTGATACCAAAACCAGGCAAAGACATTACTAAAAAAGAAAATTACAGACCAATATCCCTCATTAACATAGATGCAAAAATTCTCAACAAAATCCTAGCCAATAGAATCATATGATCGTATCAATTAATGCAGAAAAGGCATTTGACAAAATCCAACACTCATTCCTGATAAAAGCAATCAACAAATAGGAACAACCAGGAAATTCCTAAACATAATTATGGGCATATATACAAAACCAACAGCCAACATCACTCTCAACAGTGAGAAACTGAAGTTTTCCTGTTTCCTTGTGAACAGGAACTAGACAAGGATATCCTTTATAACCATTCCTATTTAATATTGTGCTGGAAGTCTTAGCCAGAGCTATAAGGCAAGAAAGGGAAATTAAAGGTATCAACAAAAAGTAGTTTCATATGCATGTGAAAGTTGGACGTTGAATAAAGAAGACCATACAAGTATTGATGCAGTAGAGTTATGGTGTTGGAGAAGAATATTAAAAGTATCATGGACTGCTAGAATAACAAAAAAATCTGTGTTAGAAGTACAGCCAGAATGCTCTTTAGAAACCAGGATGGTGAGACTTCATTTCTCGTACTTTGGACATATTATCAGGAATGACCAGTCCCTGAAGCAGGACATCATGCTAGGTAAAGTGGAGAATCAGCAAAAAAGAGGAAGATCCCCCTTCTCCCCCAGATGGGGTGGCATAGTGGCAGCAGCAATGGCCTCAAGCTTAACAATTGTGAGGATGGAGAAGGGCCAGGCAGGATTTTAGTCATGATGTCACTATGGGTCAGAAATGACTTGACGGCCCCTAACAACAACAACAATAACAAATTGGCAAAGAAGAAGTAAAACTCCCTCTATTTGCAGATGATATGATCCTATACTTAGAAAACCTCATAGTCTCAGTTAAGAAAATTATTGGCACTCATGGATAGACTTGGCAAAGTAGCAGGATACATGATCAACAAACAGAAGTCAAGCTCTGAAAAATAAATCAGGAAAACAATACCATTTACAATAACCACCCAAAGGATGAAATATTTGGGAGTAAATCTAACAACAACAACAAAAAAAACCAAAAGAACTATAAAACACTACTACAAGAAATCATTTAAAAACTGTAGAAATGGAGGAATATATCCTGCTCATGGATAGGAAGACTCAACGTGAAAATGTCAATACTACCCAAAGCAATCTATAGATATAATGCAATCCCAATCCAGATTCCAACCTCACTTTTGAAAGAGATGGAAAAACTAATCACTAACTGTATATGGAAAGGAAAGAGACATGGGATAAGCAAAACATTATTCAAAAATAACAAAGTAGGAGGCCTCTCACTTCCCAATCTCAAAATGTACTACTCAGCCACATAGTGAAACAGCCTGGTACTGGTATAATGACACATAAATCAATGGAACAGAATTGAGAACATAGAAGTAAAGCCATCTACCTGTGGTCAGCTGATCTTTGACAAAGGGCCAAAACGCATTAAATGGGGAAGAGATAGTGTCTTCCACAAATGATGCTGGCAAAACTGAAAATCCATTTGCAGAAAAATGAAACAAGACCCATATATCAACCATATACAAAAATGAATTGAACTCAAAGCCTAGAAATATAAAGGTCATCAATGAAAAAATAGGGATAAACTTATGGGCTCTGATATATGGCATACATACACTATCAGACATAACTGACAGCACATAACCAAACGATAAAATAGATGACTGGGACCTCCTAAACTTTAGACACTTATGTGCATCAAAGGATTTCACCAAAAAAGCAAAGAGAAACCAAATTAGGAAAAAAATGTTTGGCAAGGACCGATTCTCTAAAATTTACAGAACACTTCAATGCCTCAAGAAGACGACAAATAATCCAATTTAAAAATGGGTTGAGGACATGAGCAAACACTTCACCAAAGAAGACCTTCAGGTGACCGACAAACATGAAGAAATTCTCATGATCATTTGCCATTGTTGTTGTTGTTGTTAAGTTAGTTCTGACCCATAGCGACCCAGTACAGGGTTTCCGAGGAGCAGCTTGTGAGCTTGAACCGCCGTCCTTGCAGTTTAAACAGCTTTGCAGTCTGGCACATTAACCCACAACACCACACCAGGAAACAATGAGACATCATCTTATTATTGATGTTAAATGCTCAAAAAAACAGAAAACAATAAATACTGGAGAGAGTGTAGAGAGACTGGGACTTTCCTACACTGCTGGTGGGACTGTAAAATGGTGCAGTAACCGTGGAAAAGGAAGATCGTAGAATTGATGCCTTTGAGTTGTGGTGTTGGAGGAGAATACTGAAAGTCCCATGGACTGCCAAAAGAACCAATAGATCTGTTTTGGAAGAAGTACAACCAGAGTGCTCCTTGGAGGCCAAGACGGCTAGGCTTCGTCTCTCCTACTTTGGACACATTGTCCGGAGACAACAGTCTCTGGAGAAGGATGTCATGCTGGGTAAGGTGGAGGGTCAGAGAAAAAGAGGAAGACCCCCAACGAGATGGATCAACCAGTGGCATCATTGATGGTGTCAAGTGTGGCAGCGGTGGTGGTGTTAGCCCAGGATCGGACATTGTTTCGTTCTGCTGTACATGGGGTCGCTATGAGTCGGTTCCGACTCAATGGTACCTGACAACAACAACAACAACAACCGTGGAAAAAGGTATGGCACTTTCTCAAAAAGTGGAAAAAGAAATAGCATATGACCAGCAATCCCTCTAATTTTGTACATATCCTCAAGAAATAAGAGCTGGGACACAGCTAGATATATGTATGTACACCCATGTTGACTGCAGCACTATTCAGAATAGCAAAAAGATGCCCATTAACAGAAGAATGGTTAAACAAACTTTGGCATAAACATAGAATATTAATATTACACAGAACTGAAGAATTATGAGAAATCTGCAAAACATCTCACAACACGGATGAACCTAGAGAACATTGTTGTTAAGTGCCGTTGAGTTGGTTCTGACTCATAATGACCCTGTATAGAGCTTCCAAGAATCTGCTGGTGAGTTTGAATTGCCCACCTTGAGGTTCATGCTGACCTTGAAGTCGTGTACTTATCCTATAGCACCACACCAAGACTCCTAGAGAACACTGTTGTTGTTAAGTGCCATCAAGTTGTTTCTGACCCTTAGTAGCTCTGTATAGGGTTTCTAAGGAGCAGCTGGTGAGCTGGAACCACCAACCTTGCAGTTCAAAAGACTTTGCAGTCTGACACATTAGCCCATAGTGCCACACCAGGACTCCTAGAGAACACTGTTGTTGTTGTTGCTAAGTGCCATCGAGTCCATTCCGACCCATAGCCAAACCCTGTATAGGGTTTCCAAGGAGCAGGTGGTGAGCTTGAACCACAGACCTTACAGTTCAATCAGCTTTGCAGTCTGGTGCATTAATTCACGGTGCCACACCAGGACTCATTAGGCTGTGTGAAATTAATCAGTCACAAAATGACAAATATTGTATGAGACCACTGTCGTAAAAAGTAAAAAAAAAAAAAAAAAAGATTTTCTTGCTAAATGAAATGTTCTATGATGGTTACAGTAGGGGACATGCTAGAGTGTAGACACATGTTAACATGGGTGCTTGTTGTTGTTGTTAAGTGCCATCGAGTCGATTCCGACCCATAGTAACCCTGTATAGGGTTTCCGAGGAGCAGCTGGTGAGCTTGAACTGCCAACCTTGCAGTTCAAACAGCTTTGCAGTCTGGCGCATTAAATCACAGCACCACAACATGGGTGGTAGGGCAGGCAAAATACAACAAGAGGGAGGTCAGAAGAGGAAAAGTAGCAGGAGACAGAGAGGAGGGCATGAGTTAAAGGATATAGAGATAAATACTGCTAACTGATGGTACTTGGAGGTTGCAATCACTGTAATGAAGCAAAGTATATAATTTGTTGGATATAAAACTGATGATATGCTCTGTAAACCTTCACTCAATTCATAGTAAAAAGTTTTAAAGTCAAATACTTTCATTTATCATAGCACTATGATCAAAAAGTGAAAGGCAACTGATTGGGAGAAAACTTTCAGGAAGGGAGCTTTAAGAAGTAAGTGGAAAAATTCTATTATCTTTTAATTCCATTTTCCATGAACATTTTGAAGTCCCCTAGTATATCTGATAAGGGTTTAATATCCACACTGTTATTTTTAAAATACATACTTCTACAACTTAACAAAAGACAAACAACCCAATCAAAAAAGGGGCAAAGGACCTGAATAGACATTTCACTAAAGAGGATATTCAAATGATCAACAAGCACATGAAAAAATGTTCAATGTCATTAGCTGTTTGTTGTGGCTATTAGGTGCTGGGAAGACTTAAACTTATGGTGCTCTCATGTGACAGAATAAGACTGCCTCATAGGGTTTTCTGGCTGTCATCTTTAGGGAACTAGATCACCAGGTATTTATCCACTGGGAGGTTTCAAACCTTCAACCCTTAGATTAACAGTCTAGTACATAACCACACTGTATCACATAGCAAGTAATGGATTTCATCTCTTGTTTTTACAATAGTATTAAACTATCTCAGTTAAACGTCTCACACTGCACTATTCATTACTGCTTCCTCCCAGACCTGCACCTCTTGATCCTCCCCAATCTTGCATTCTTCCAGTTTCTCAAGCTAAAAATCTTACTGCCAACTTTGACAGCCCACTCATATCCTCTAGTCAGTCAGTTAGCATATTCTATTGGTTCCGTTTTCAAAATTTATCCAGAAATCAACTTCCTCTTATCATCGCCACTGTTTCCAGACTGGCTCAAGTCACCATCTTCTCTTGCCTGGCTATTTCAAAAACCTCTAATAAATCTCTCTGCTTCTATCCCTTTTACCTTCAGTCTATTCAACATTGCAGCTAAAGTAATCCAACTGAAATTCAAATCAGATGTCTTTTTCTCTGCTCAGACCTTCCAATGACTTTCAATCTCACTTGAGTACAATCTAAGTCCTATAATAACCACAATTCTCTCTCTTTTCTTTAAACTTCATTTCTTTCTACTCTTCTGGTTCATTTTGCTCCAGTGACACTGGCCTTAGACAGAGTAGGTACTGCTCCACACACCCCCGCCTTTTCATTGACCGTCTCCCAGACAGATGCATGAATCAAACCAAAAAACCCAAACCCATGCCATGGTACAGATTTCCACTCACAGCAACCCTATCCTGGATTTCCAAGACTGTAAATCTTTACAAAAGCAAACAGCCTCTTCTATTTCAGATCTTACAGCCCAACAACATCAAGCCCACAGCACCACCAGGGTTCCTTATGCACTTGACAAGCACTTGAGTTTTCAAGTTTTGACTTAAAAGATGTCTTCTCATTGAGGCCTCCGGGTCAAATCTAAAATTGCACCAACCTCCAACCCCAACATTGCCTTACCTTTCCTTGTTTATTATTATCTTTTTAAATACTATCATCTAACTTTTATTTATTTAGCTTGTTTATTGTCTCCCTCACCCCCATACCAGCCCAAAACTTAAGCTTCATGAGGTTAAGGATTTTTGCATCTTTTGTCGATTTGCTGCGCTTAGCATTTAACAGATGATTCAAATTAATTGATTTATTTAGGTAATTGTGGACTCCATAATAAAAACGCACACAGATTTCCAATCTAACATATGAGGGGGGCTTCAAAAAGTTCGTGGGAAATGGAATTTTAAAAAGATAATAGAAAATTTCCACGAACTTTTGCAGCCCGTGTGTGTGCATGTGTGTGTGTGTGTAAATAATACACAAAATGAAGAACTTATGCTTTTGCTATAACGATAGCACCGACCTGCCACTTACTCGTGTGGCGCTGCGGGCTCATGCCCTGGATTGCAAGGTAGGTTTGAACCTCAAGGTCGGCGGTTCAAGCTCACCAGCCGCTCCTCCGAAACTCTATACAGGTTTACTGAGTCGGAACCGACTCGTCGGCACTTAATAACTTAACCAGTTGCTGAGCATTTTCCTGGAGGCAGTTACTATGCAAATACTTTTATTTCTCCCAAGAATACTGCAAGGTACATGTGTCAAGGTCAAACAGCTAGTAAATGGCTTAGCCGAGATACAAACACAGACCCAACTACAAATTCCAAAGCTCTGTGTACCAAGGAGGTCCCCAGCCTCCTTTGCTTTGAAGCTGGTTGAAGTAAGATTTTCACGTCCCTCCTTAACATCAACGCTCACCTAGCGTCTTCTCCTCCGCCTCAAATGGGAAGGAGGCTCTGGCGCGGGGGGGGGTCTTTTGCTGGCTGGGTGAGTCCTCTATCTGCTCTCACCTGCCAGGTACCCTCTCGCAGGCCCAGCTCCCAACAGCCTTTCTCCCGTACTTACCTTAAAGTACCCCTTTCCTTCTTTGCCGCCATCCTGCATTCCTAGCTCAAGGCCACACAGTAGGTGCTTCCTAACAAAAACAATCACCAACTCCTTCGCTAACCAGCTACAACAGTGCCTCACGCTTAGCCGCCGACTTTCAAATTTAACGGTCCCGCGCGGACGACGTAGCTACGTCCGTGCGCTCCGCCGTGCTTCCGCCTCTCTCGCAAAGCATTCTGGATCTTGTGGTTTACTCGGGGATTACGCTGTGTGGTGAACAATGGAAACTGTAGTTTCTGGAGTGCCAGATTATAGATTGGGTTCTATAAATTTTCTGCAAGCAACCCGTTTTCAAGGAGCAGCTGCTAGATTTGAACCGCCAGTCTTTTGGTTCTCAGGCCAGTGCTTATCCTACAGCACCATACCAGGACTCCAATGTTGTTGTTTTGTTGTTAAGTGCTGTCGAGTGGGTTCCTACCCATAGCGACCCTGTATAGGGTTCTCAAGGAACGCTGGTGAATTTCAACCTCCGACTTTGCAGTCCACGGCATTAACCCACAGCACCATATCAAGAGTCTTTGTAAATTTCCACAAAATGACTTTTTCATGGTGGGCCTGGGTAAGAGAAGATGGAGGAAGAAGTTGATGAATTATATGGTTTAGTTTTGCATGGTTGTTAATAGGGTTAATTGTGAAAACTTGGAACTCTAAGATGGGTATAAAATGAACCATCTCAGAAGCAGGAAAAAGGATCACACCATCACTGAGAAGAAAGAGCCAGGAGTATAGTGTGTGTCCTTTGGACCCCAAGACTCCTGCACATTGAACCTCCTCAACCCAGGGATAGAAAGCTGTGACACAGGAGTGACAAAGGAGTGGCAGCAGCAGAACCAAGAGCCAGTGCATCAAGTAGAGCAGTGGGCTTCCCAGCTTTACTTGCTCAGCAAGTAAAAATGAGTTTCACCTTTGGACAGGAGATTCACTTCTTCGGTGGGATAGCTTCAGACACTAAATTGGGGAGCTAGGTTTGCTCATCCAAGGAACTAGAGCTGAGTGCATTTGGGTTGAGGCTTATAAAGGGGTGGAGTGCCCTTTGGGCATTTATTAGAAGCCCTAAAAGAGCTTTGACAGAGCAGGGCAGAGGCCAGGCCCAAGGCCAGAGAACGAGGACAGCCTGTGGAGGAACTGTGCCGTGAACAATGCTGACTCTGAATTGTATAGCTACCATGATAGACCCCATGACTTTGAGTATGGTGTCTGAGTTCTGTGTGGCCATTGCAATGAATGACTGAACCCAGTGGAATGAAGAGTGATGAAGGGATGATTGGTGTGTCTTATTTTATTGAAATATATATAGAACACATTCAAGTGAAAGCCTTCACTTGTTTCATCATGTCTGATGGAAGATGCTGTGTTCTTATTTAATAGAAGGCATGTTCTTGGTAGGCTGCACTGTGACTGGGCAGACAGCACAGTGTCCAGGTCGTGATACTGGTGTCAACAGCACTAACCAGTGGTAGAAAAGGTCAGGATTAAACTTAAACACATTTATAGTCAAAAGAAGATAAGACAAAACTCCACCTGAGTGCTCATAATGTATCAAGCAAGGGTGGGACAGAGATTTGGACAGTGAACTAGACTCAGTTCTTGCCCTCAAGGAATTTATGCTAATAGGAGAGACAAGCAGGCAATGTCAGTACATTATTGCTATAACCAGAAGTAAATTCATTCAGGGAGGCATGGAAACATAGGAGAAGCTTCCAAACTAGTTCTCGGGGAAAGGAGGAGGTCAGGAAAATGTTCTAAAGAAGATGGTAAACCTCAAGGGCAAGGGCAATTTAGCACAAACTGGATTAATGCATCAGACAATGCAAAGTCGTTTGAACTGCAAGGTTGGTGGTTCAAGCTCACCAGGCTGCTCCTTGGAAGCCCTATACGGGGTCGCTATGGGTTGGAATCGACTCGACACACTTAACAACAACTAATCACAAAAATTTTGTAATAGGTACAGTTTAGCATGGCCACCTCTTCTCTATTCATTACTCCATTCATTATCCTCACTGAGGTCTCACCTCGTCAGATCCCAATCAAAACTTACCTGGCCTATGGCAGTATGGTGAGACCTGGGCCCAGGGACAGGGACATGGCCACAGAGGACTAGAGCGGAGAGTGAAGGGTCTGGCTGATATGAAGTGAGGGGAGATGCACAAGAACACCCATACTTGCAGATAGTACCCATTTGACCTGACTTCAATGGCTGGATGACCAGAACTCAACTGGAGGAAGAAAGAAGAGGAAAGAAAGAGTAATCCACTACAATTTGATGAACTTGACCCACGCTTGTGGATGTGTAACTCAAAAGAGGGAACGAATCTTTACAGTGAGGATCATTTCCACTTCCTCAGTATACAGGGTTGACAGGGATGGGCAACTTAGACATTGGCTACCCAAGATGAGTGGGGGTGGTGGGGGGGCTACAAAGGCATGAAGTGACTGGCTTACAAGCTTTCAAGAGGGAGTCTAGTTTCAGAGGGTGCAGGGAAAGGTAGAATCTTCACTAAGTGGTTTCCAACCTGTCTGGATGGGGCTGGTGAAAGGACATGGGAATAAGACTCTTGTGGTTCAATAGTGAATAATTGCTATCAGGACTGATTGTGAGTGTTGCAAATGCAAAGGTAGACATTTTGTAACAAAAGGAGGGGAGTGGCTGATCTTGCAGTCCAGGAGCAGAGGACCTTGGGATCATCAAGGGAGAAGAACGGAGGCCAGAGATGGAGGTAGAAGACGATAACGTGGAGAGATAGAGTGACTAGGGACTCTGGACTCTGGGAGGGAGAGGGTCTGTGCGTTGACGGCCAGGGGGCAGGCTTGCGGGGTGTACCCTTTGTCTGTTTGATGATGCATGCAGGGAATTGTAATCATTGCAATGAATGAAATAAGATAGGATGGATGTAAAGCTAATGTTCTCCCATGTAAACTATCACATAATTCACAATAAAAACTTTAAAACAACAACACAATTTATCTGGCCTATGTACCACTCTCTCCTATTTCACTGTTATATGGAAAACCTGAACTAAATCATACACACAAATAATTATTAATAATTATTCATGTTTTAGTGGTGTGTTTTCCACATAGTCTAAGATTCTTCTAAGTGTTTCAAGGGAATAAAAAGTTCTCAAATGCTGTCTCAACTTGGTATTTTTACTAAAAGACTCCCTTAGTAGTTGTTGTTGTTGTTAAGTGCTGTCAAGTCAGTTTCAACTCATAGCAAAACTGTATGGGTTTCCAAGGAGTGACTGGTGAGTTTGAACCACCTTGTGGTTCTAACCGACATTATTCAAGTGCTTTATCCCACAGTGCCACTAAAGCCCTTAATATACCAAAGTGCCAAGGAAGGGGTGAACTAGTCTTATATTGCTGTTGTAACTAAATTCCAAAAACATAGTGACTTAAAACAACACAAATTTAAGGGCCTTGGCTGGCACATATGGCTTGGTGGTTCAAAGCCATCCAGTACCTTGTAGGAAATAGGCCTGGTAATCTGCTTTCTCACAGATTAGTCAAGAAAACTCTATGGAACAATTCTATTCTGTAATACCAGGGGTCTCCATAAGTCATGAGAAACAACAGTAAAAAATAGTACAAATTTATTATCTTACAGTTTGGTAGGTCAGAAGTTTGTGTTCTTCCTGAAGGCTCTAGAGGATTCCATTTCTATGACTTTCCCAGTTGTTAGAGGTCACCAGAATTCCTTGACTCATATTCCCCTTTTCCATCTTCTCTGATTCTGTTTCCATTGGCACTTCTCTTTCTCTGACAACAGCCAGGAAAAGTTCTTTGCTTTTAATGACCCACTTAAGGGTCCAACAAGATAACCTTTCCATCTCAAGGTACTGCACCTTAGCTACATCCACAAAGTCTTTTTTGTCATGGAAAGTAACATATTCATAGCTTCTGTGGATTAGGACATGGGCATCTTTAGGAGGCCATTATTCTGCATAAGGCCAAATCAAACCAAACCCAAAGCCATTGATTCCAACTTCCAACCACGCTATAGGACCGGGTTAGGAGCCTAGTAGCCTAGTGGATTACAAACTGGGCTGCTAACCTTAAGGTTAGTAGTTTGAATCTATCAGTCACTCCCTGGGAGAAAGATGAGGCTTTCTGCTCTTGCGTGTCACTGCAGGATAATGTGCTGGATTAGAAGTTCAGTTTGAACTTCAAGGTTGACAGTTCAAACCTGCCAGGAAGGTTTCCAGGGCTGTAATTTTTATGGAATCCTGGTGTGGTGCTTATCACTGTAGGATAATGCACTGGACCACAAGGTTGGTTTGAACTGCAGGGAAAGCAGTTCAAACTTGAAGATACTTCTCAGAAACACTATAGGTGCTAAGAGTCGGAACTAACTTGATGGCACTTAACAACAGCAACAATCTTTATGGAAGGAATGGTGGCACTGTGGGTTAGGCATTGGACTATTAACCACAAGATCAGCAATTCAAACCCACTAGTCTCTTCTTGGGAGAAAGATGAGGCTATCAACTCCTGTTGTTATTAAGTGCCATCAAGTCAATTCCGACCCATAGCGATGCTGTATAGGGTTTCCAAGGAGCAGCTGGTGAACTTGAACCACCGATCTTGCAGTTCAAACGACTTTGCAGTGTGACTTTGCATTAACCCACAACGCCACACTAGGACTCGGATCCGCTCCTAGAAACCCTCCTAGAAACCTTCTAAAGGGTCACTATGATTCATAATCGACTGACAGCAATAGGTTTGGGGGTTGTTTGTTAATCTTTATGGAAGCAAACTGCCATATCTTTCAAATCGCGGAATGACTGGTGGGTTCAAACCACCACCCTTTTGGTTAGTAGCTGAGTACTTAACCTCTGCAAAACTCGGGTTCCTTCTAACTAAAAAATCAAAACCAACAGCAACAAAAAACCCACTACTACAGAGTTTATTCCAACTCATGGCAACTCTATAGACAGAATAGAACTGTTCCCTAGGATTTCTGGGGCTGTAAATCTTTACAGAAGCAGAC